GACGAAGCCGGCCGGCGGGAGCTGCTGCGGGGCCCAGCCCGCCGCTAGGCTCGGTTTCCTCTCCCGCCTCCTGCGAGGGCGGGACTAAGGCCCGGGCCGCGGTAACCCTGCCCCCCTCGCTCCGCGCCCGGCCCAGGCGGCCACCCACCGGCGACGCCCACCCAGCCCGGGCTCACACTTCCCCACCCCCTCACCCAGCCCGGTACTGTCCTGCGCCCCCGCCCCCGGCTCCACGGTGGCTCCTCCCGCTCGAGCCACCATGGCCACAGCAGGCCGCCGGACTCTGCAGCCGGGGAGGCCTGGCCGTGCCCTGGGCCCGCCCTCGGCCTGGGCCCAATCAGTATCCCGGACCCCAGAAGCCCTGATCCTGGTGCCACCTCCGAGTGCCCAGGCACATGGGCCAACCCTAGAGGGGCAGGGCCCGACCTTCCCCTGTGCAGGACCTCCTCTGCCCCAGTGTCCAGACCAGGACGTCCTGCGGGGAGCAGGAAGGGCGGGTGGGGGGTGGCGGGAGAAGAGGGAAAAGAGGCTGAGGGCACCCCGCCCCCACTCCCAGAACACAGGCACCCATTGAGAGGCGGCTCAGAGCCACTTTGTCCCCAAGGGCCTGGGCTCTGCCAGCTGCACTGGCTCCCCGAGATGGCCCCTTCCCCCTCTGAGTGGACAGCGCTGGCATGCACCAGCCTGTGGCCTCATCAGTCGGGATGATAGGCTGCCGCCTGGAGCCCATCCAGCTAGACACTCTTCAAAAACCCCCTTTTCACAAAGCAGTCCTGCAAAATACTGCATTGGCTAGGGGAGCATAGGGAGGGCAAGAGTTAATTACAGTGGAGACCGTGTTTTTTTTGGGGGGGGGAGCCAATTAATCCCCCTACAAATTTATACTGTCAGTGACTGTGCCCCCTGCTACCTGGGCTACCCTGACCAGGAACTGCCTATCACTCCAGACACCAAATCAAAAGCCTGCCTCAAGCTGTGGCCATGGTGTGGTCCTTTACAAAGCACGTTGACATGTACCTCATTGGAGGGTCTCCACAACTCTGGGAGCTCAGAAGTTGACAGGTGTTCTCATCAATCCTATTATACAGATGGACAAACTAGGACTCAAGGGAGTTGTAGGACTTGCCAGAGATAATACAGCCTGTAAATGGCAGAGGCAACAACAACAGCAGGGCCCAAGTCTTCTAAATCCAGGTGGATTCCTCCTCCCCAACAGCAGAGGGCGTGGACAGTGAGTCTCTCTGGTGTTCGGAGGTGAGGGCACCAGGGCAGGGCAGGGAAGGTCCAGTAGAATCTAAATAAGTTAGGGAAGGGCAGCCAGAAGAGGAGCTGCCCTGTCTTGGGCCCCTGTGGTTGCTAGCACTCCCAACCTGAGAGCTGGGTTAAGGAAAGCATTAGTTCCTGCCCCAGGAAATTGCTGGTAGTCTGATGGGGGGCAAGTGATTATATGTCCCCGTGCAGGCCTAGTCACAAACACAGCAGCAGAGGGATGAAGAGAAACGTCTCATACTTCCCCACCCCCTGGACTGTGTGCCCTTTGCCATCCCTGTCTTCTTTCCTAGTGCCCAAGCTCCATGAGTGCGGGACCATGTGGTCATTGTATTCACTGCTGTCACCCAGCCGTTGCCGTAGGTAATTCTTGTAGGTTGAATGACGTTCAGAGGGAGGGTTGTCTCTCTTCCTGTCCAAGGCTGTTCCTCCCACGTACTCTAGACCTCATCTGATCTCTCCGCATTATCTCTTCTCTTCAGTGTCCTTAGTTTATCCTTTCTTATCAGCTTCTTTCCCCAGAGCAAAACCGAAATCTCAAGTCTCTCCTGGTAAAACAAAACAAAACAAGAACAAACAAAGCCAAGCCACATGCTTCCTGAAATTCATCCTTTTCTAGCTACTTTCCTGCTTTTCTCCTTTTTTCTTCTCCAACTGGTCCTCCTCAAATCTTGCCCTTGTTGAGGCTTCCAGCTGACCATGACACCGAGTTCTCCCACCATCAGTGATTTTCTAACTAAAATTCTAGGGAAACTCTTCAGTCCACAGGATAGGAGTGTTGAGACTGGGACAGAGGGTGGGGAAGGGCTGGGGGCGGGCCAGGGGGGAGAACTGGCAGGATTGGGAGAGCCTGGAGATGGAGGGCTGAGGCTAGCTCTGTCACAATAATGGACCTGAGTCCTGATAGAGGCCATGGAACTGGGCAGGAGTGGGAAGAGGCTGGGTGGGAGCAATGGGGAGGGACTGGGGCACCTGAGAAGGGGTTTGTCCAAATGTTTAGGCCTGAAGGGGCTTCACTGTACCTCATTCGCTCAGGGCACACAGGAGCCTCTTCCCCTTACCAAGCCTCTCTCCTGGGCCCCAGTGAGGGGCAGAGGCACTTCTCTGGAAAAGGAGAGGCAGACAGTAATTAATTTGTGATCAGATGAGACAAAATATGAACTTTGCCAGTAGCAGGCTCTCCCCAGGGGGGCCTGGAATAGGATAATAGTAATGCTAGCAGCTAACACTGCAAATGATTTTGTCCCATCGTACAGGGGTTGGAAGCGAATTTTCCCGGCTTACCCAGCTGGGATGTGGAGGTGGGCTTCTGTGACTTCTAAGTCCAGGCCCTTGCAGTCCACGGCCTGCCTCTCCCGTAATATGTCTAAAATGCTCCACCCAATGCTTGGCATACAGAACGCATACTTGGGGAAACTTTGATGCCCAGCCCTTATCCCCAGCAGAAGTCTCCCCACTCCTATGTGGGAAGATAGCGGGATATTTAGGGTGGGGAAGGGCAGTGGAAGCCGGGCAGAGAGGAGGGGCTGGGACCAAGCCTGTGACCCAGTTTGGGCTTTGCCTGGGGCTATGGTACCCGAGTGAGCGAGCTGCTGAGTCATCTCACTGCTGGGCTGAATGACCAGCCCAGGGCTCCTCCCCGCCCCCTTCTTGCTCCTCTTCAAATCAGAGCTGACTGAGTAGGCCTGGGCTCTTCCAGGGCCTTCCTGTCTTCCCAGGACCAGGGCCCTGGAGCCTCCATTCCAGAGGCTCCTGCCCCACCCACCTGTCTGGCTCAGGGGGATTCTGGGCCATTGTGAGATAAGGGGAGCTCCATTCCTCTCCCCTACTTGCCTCCAGGTTAGTCCCATGCTTTCTCCAGTCCTCCTCCTCCCAGCTGTCCTCTGGCACAGTCACCTCCTGCAGATAGATAATTACTCATTCCTTTCTTCCCGAGGGCCCTGAGACCTTTCCTCATTGATTTAATCTCATTACAGCCACTCCAGGGTGTCAAAGACACACTGATTCTTCCTTGCAACCCAGGGCTGGGGAGAGCAAGCCCCAGGAGAGCCCCAGAAACTTGGCCAAGCTCTCATGGCTTAGCTGGGGACTGAAGGAACCAGATCTTCTGGCTCCCACTGTCCCGAAGTAAACAAACATCTCTCTTGCACATAAGGTCTTCCCTGGTGTCTAGCTTTATTCTTTCTCAGTGCAAATGAAAGACTATGACTCTCGAGTTTGTCCTCTTGATGGGAGGGGTCTGGAGGTGGGTGAAGGACAGTGGGGATCAGCCTCACCGTGGGCCCAGCTACTGGTAGGAAGGAGCACTCTTCTAGCAATGCCTTTGCAGGATTACCTGCCCCAGAATGCCAGGCTGCTGCTTCTTTGCAGAGGCCCAGGGCAGCCTGGGCAGTACTTGCACAGCCTGGGCCTCAGGAAAGGAGGGGTTAGCTGGGCTGGTTTGGGTGGCATCTGGGATCAGCCTGCCCTGGGGGGGCTATGGGAGCAGTGCCAGTCACAGGCAGCCAGTGCTCGCCTCAGGAGCCCAGCCCAACCAGTGGGGCAGACGGGGAGGGCCAGGTTATCTTTAAATGGCACCTTACTCAGACTGCACCTCTGCCAGCTGGGTAGGGTGGGGGCAGACAAATGTTATTTTGGGATCTGAGAGTAAGGAAGGAAGACGGTTCTGTTTACAGCTCTCTCGTTTATCCCCACTCCCTCTCTGAAGGGTTTGGGGACATGGGCCTCAGCCGGTCCTTTCCACCCTGGGTCCTGTTTTCAGCCCAGCCCTGTTATTCAGGGGCACAGAGGGGGAACTGTTGGCCTGCCAGGGGCACAGGGCCTTTGCTGTGTGACAGGCTCTACAAGAACAAGTTTGGGTAGTGAGAGGTGCTTTGGGCTTGGAATTAGACTAATGGCGCCATTACCGCCAACTATAAGGCAGCACTCCACAGGGCTTAGTATCATGTTGACTTTAATCCTCAAAATGAGTCCCTGGTGCAGATACTAATATTATACCTGTTCTGTGGATGAGGAGATGGACGTCCAGGTACTTTAAGTAGCTTGCCCAAAGTCATCCAGCTGCTAGATGGCAGAGCCAGGATTCAAACCCTAGCAGTCTGGCTCCGGAATTCATGCTCTGAACCCCTAACCAGAGCATGAGTCCCGCCCTGTCTCTTACTGGCTCTGCAGACTTGGAGAAGCCACCTAATCCCTCTGGGCTGGGCTTCCTCTTTGTAATGGACTCTAGTTCAGCCAAACCCACTAGAATCCTCAAGTCAGCTGGCAGAGGCCCTCTGGCCCATTCTCTCTCCCTGTTCAATGGAAAAAGAATTTACTCAGGGTCACATAACAGGTCACAAGCAGAGCTCCAACCCTCTTGCTTCTACATATATTTCTGTGCTCTTGCTAGCAAAGCTCCGTGAGTCAGGGATGAGGCAAGGGAGCCAAGCCAGTGAAGGATAGGAGATCAGGTGTGGATCCGCAATCACAAAACCAGGTGTAAAAGAAACGCCACATCGCTTTTCTTTCCATCCAGTTAGATCAGACCAAGTCTCTACCCTGCCAGGTGGTGGGGAATGATCTGTCCCCCTTCTGGGATCACGAAAAGGTCCTGGGATCTCACACAATGCAAAGTACTGAGGGTGGGCCCTGCAGGCCTCGTCCTCTGCCATCCAGGGGCTGGCAAGTACAGCAGTCCTGGCCTGGGTGCCACAGGCACAGACACTGTTCTCCAGAGCCCGGCACCCAGCAGCCTGCCTCCCCAGGGACTCCGTGCAGTCCCTTCCTTAGAAGTCCTCCCATCCAGGATCCGGGCAGGGTCCCCGCCATTCAGGCCCCATGGACTTCTGCTCCTTCTTTTCTTCTGGGACCCCCTCCCCTTCTTCCTCTGTGACCCTGAGCCTTGTCTCAGTGCACTCAAGCTTTTCCAGAGGCTTCAGAAGCATGCTCTGCTTTCCACCCTGCAAAAGCAACTAAGGCAAGGAAACGCAAAGAATTTGGCTATGTTCTTGGACTAAGTAGAGGGGAAAAAACCTAGGGGAAGCAAGCCAATACATCGGTAACTTATAATATCATGCAGATCCTCACAGAAAGACTGCTTAGCAGGTGGAAGGCAGGAGCTGTAGCCACCACCTGTTTCTATCCTGTTCCCAGGCAGGATGGCAGTTCTGCAGTTCTTCCTCACAGAGCTGGCCTCCTGAAGGCTCCCTGAGACCCTAATTTAGCAGCAGCATCTGTGAAGCCGAACTGAATCATTCTAATCCAGTGAGTCAGGGAGACGGAGCCAAACATAGCTCCCAGCTACTGGAGGGCGGGGGAGACACAGAGAGAAGCACTCTCTCCCGTTTGAAGTGCTTCAATGAAGTCATCTTTAATTCTAACTACAACTCTGAGGTAGGTATTAGTTCTCCATTTTACAAATATGGAAACCAAGGATCAGAAAGGATGTCACTTACCGCAGCTTCCTCCTCACCTTCCGGCTATGCAGTCAGGCCAAGTTGCAGCAACTCGAGACTTGAAGGGACTTCCTAGGCCTTCCAGTCGCGCAGCGTTTCCTCCTTTTCTCTTCCTGCAGCACACCTGCCGTAAAGTCATGTGTACCATACAGGTCTAAAAGACCGGTGTAATTCGCAATTTTAGGAAAACAACAGTAATGCCACTCATTTCTCACGTACTCAAACAAAACATAACAAAACAAACCCCAAAACAAGAATGTGAGGGTCCTTGTTAGATAGCTGTTGAACCTGTACCAATCCAGCAGAGAAAGATAAATAATTCACAAATGGTAGAATTTTATTAACAATCATTTCAGGCTGCTTTGTTACCCAAATCCCGCCCATCAGCTGTCACTTTCGGAAGACCTTTCTCCACCTGCCATCAGGGCCCACGGACTCTCCTTTTTCAGCCTTTCACTGTCTGGCCTCTTCCCCTCCATCTCCTCCTGTTACTCGGGTCTCTCACTTGCACCCCTGCCCCCAATCTCCCCTTCTAGTCATGCTTGGACAGACATCAGAATGCTTTCCAAAATGCAAACCTGATCATGCCACATCTCTGCCTAAAATTCATGAATGGTCACCCATTCCCAGAAGAGGGCAAGGCCTACAGGATCCCTCCCCTTCTGGCTCCCACTTGTCCCCCAGCTGATTTCTGGCCAAGAGCCCTGTGAACCATAAATTCTAGTACTTTTTAACCCGTGTATAAGCTGAAAATGCAATCGTATTCTGGGATGGTCTTTTCTTAAAGATTATTTTCTCTGGAGTGTCCTACCCCACCCTTGTCTGCCTGACAAATGCACAGAGGCAACAGAAAACTGGCAAAAAGTACAAAACCTACTTGGATCCGAATCACACACTTTGCTATGTGACTTTTGGCAGGTAACATTTAATAACTCTATGCTTCAGTTTCATCAGTCTGTGGATGGGGTAAACAAAAGTATGCACTTCGTAGTTATTAGATGGTCTACACGAGAATCCAAGTAACACTTTGGAACAGTCATTGGCATTTAGTGCTTCTGAAACCTTAGCAGTTGTTAGCCACCTTGCGAGTGCGCAGTTTAAGGGTCCCCTTCTCCATGCAACCCTGCCTGACTTCTCCCAGTTACCATTAACCATTCCTCTTTCGGGTAGTGGGAATTGACCCCAGTACTTCTCTCATAGTACTACCCACATCTGCTGCATTATTTCTGACCCCCTACTGGACTAGCTTCTTGAAGGAAGGGGCCAAGCCTCTCCAGCATCTAGCACTGGCCTTGCATGGAAAAAAAGTTTAGTATTTGCTGAACAGAATAAACACATAGTGGCCAGAAATTGGCTTTGAGTTTATCATCTACTTATTGGCCGTAGGTCTGCCTGGCTGGGGTGAGAAGTATAGAATGTCTTTCACTGGACAATCCTTTCGGTTTCCAAAGCAGTGTCCTGTTTTCCCTGAGTCTTCTCGGCTCCTTCAAGCTTCTTCCCCGTGACACAGCTTGGGGCCTCCAGTTCTTGGTTTTCCTCTTGCAGATGGGCTCACCGTCTGTCAGGGAGCCTCCTGTTTGAGCACCATAATGGAACAGAGCACTCTAGGATTGCTGACAGACACAGAGGACCGAAATGATCTTACACAATCTGTGCCTACTACCCCAGCCAGGACTACACTGGAGTTTAGTGAGGACACGTTAACAGTTCCTGACATCATAAACACTTATTACTGGCACAAAGAATTGTTAACAAGAGCACAGTGCTCTGTAATCCTTAACTCTCTTCATACTCATCCATCTGAATTTTGAAAACAACCTTACCTTTAAATTCTGCCTATTTTTAAAGCTTATAGAGATAGTTGTTTGAATCCTAAATTGTCATCCTTCCCAGGAGTTCCTGTTATCTAAAAATCTGATCGGCTGATCAGCAGGGAAGCCTGGGTGGCTCAGTCGGTTATGCATCTGACTCTTGATTTCTGCTCAGGTCATGATCCCAAGGTTGAGAGATGAAGCCCCATGGAACCTGCTAGGGATTTTCTCTCTCCCTCTAGCCCCTCCCCCCATCTAAAAAAAAATCTGATCAGCAACTCTATCTAGTACTGTTTCTTTTGTAAATGGCCTCAAATCCTCTTTTGGAATGGGTAAAACATTAAAAAAAAACCCTCATCTGTCATTAATATCAAAGGAGGGGCCAAGGACAGAGCCCTGGGGCACAGCATAAACCATTCCACAATAAGCCAGTTTGTAGTCTGAGAGTTGGTGGCCAGTAACCAACTTCTCCATTTCCCTAATGCTTTGATTTTACCGCGTCCAGATTTTATGTTAACAAAATCAGACTACGAGTCTAGTTGGGCATCACTTGCTCTGAATTCATAATGAACATCTATTAAACTCCAGTGATTACAACATTCTTATTTATCACCTCAAGTCATCTGTCTGTAGTCCCTGATCAATGTCACACATCTGGCAGGATAGTCCCTGTGTCACAGATCGGGCAGGGGACTTATCATAACCAGCTTCCTTCTGTTCTTGGACTTCCACCTCCTCTGTCTTCTGGTTGTTTCTTCCGTTTTCCCTTCAGTTCTTTCCACTAAGAGCTCAACACACTGCTGGCAAAGCCCTTGGTGTTCTAGCTGTTACTCACCAGGCTCGGGAAACCTGAAGTATTTTAGAACAGCCCAGCGCTCTCTCATTCCCTTGTTTATCTTATCTTGAACTTCAACTCCTTCCAACCAGTTAGCCCTGATCTTTTAGACCCAAGGTAAGTTCTTTGGCCAAAAGACCAGGAGACAAAATAGGAGCTAGAGTTCAACTTTCTGTCAATACTACTGGAACTTTCTGTCAGTACTACTGGACTCAAGCAGATCTTTTTTCTCCCTGCTGACGGTGGATATAGTCTCTGAACTCTTCCTCATTGATAGAATGGGAATATTATCCACTGTGTACCTGCTGTAAAGGTTAAATGGGATGATGTGAAAATGCTGTGGGAGCAAAGGAAGTGCCTGCACACAAAGGGGTCCAAGACCCTCTGCTCTCATCCACAACAGTATGTCTGTTAGGCAGGGGTGGCCGCCTGGATGATACGAAGACCCTTTCCTTCAGGACTTAGGTTTTCCAGTCCTCCCCAAAAATCAGCAAGAGATGACCTTTGTCAAGAGATCACTTTTGGCACTAGATACAGACTCTTTTTCTAATTAGCAGGCCCAGAAGGGGCCCATATCATTCTATGTGTGGGAGCCCCAAGCCTTCCCAAACTCAGCAATTCAATGCCAATGGCATGAGACCTTTCTTTTGTGCCACAATCAGGAGTTGATTTGGCCTTATGTAACCTTCAGCACTGAAACCAACTGGCACTGCCTTGAGATCAACTATGGAGTTTGTTTCTAAGGCTGACTGTGGTTTTCCTGAGCACCAATTGGCCCGACCTCCTATATTTCCCCAATATGAGCAACTCTCCCAACTCAAGGGGGAGAAACAGCAGGGGCAGTTACCAGTCTCAGAACCTGGCTGGCAGCGGACGATGCTGTGCACACGTCCTCAGGCTTTTCAAAGATAGTAACGTTAACAGACACTTTCCCCAGCTCAGATGTGACAATTGTACACCAGGGACACCTAGTGGCGTGAAATCACTATTAGCTACAAAATCCTTAGGCTTCCGAAACAGTCCTGTACAGTAAATGCCCCACAAGTGGGGCCCTTTCCTCAAGAACAGAGACTTAAATTCACTTTCTATTCTGTTTCCTGTCTGCAAGACCATCAACCTAAAGAAATCTTCTGTAGCTACTAAAACTGAGGCACCAGGTGTGGGCACTATCAAAAAGGAATGCTGGGCTTTGCCTTCCTCCCCTTGATTTATTATCCTCATTCACCCACAAGACTGAAATTCCCAAATAAGGGACCACCCTTAAAAATACTTGATTGGATGATACTAGTTCTCTAAGAATCATTTTGAGCTAGCTTAGCTAAAACACACTAGGGTGTCTACATGGCTCTGCCTAATCTTTTTCCCCTTATTTTTATTTTCCTTCTAAAAGGAACAGAAGGCAGATGTGCTGGTACACCTTATACCATGCGGACTAAATTCATTTGTAAAGATTACTTTACTCTCCTAGAAAAATACACATTGCAAATTTGAGGGCTACAACTTAACCACTTTAGAGGATTTCTGAGGGAGATGGGGTAACCTTTGAATATCAGAGTGTGTGGTGACGTGTGGGAGAGGAATATTAAATATGGTTGTGTCAGGAGGACTTTTAAAAAAATGTTTTTCCTTTTTTTTTTTTTTTCTTCTTCTAAAAAAGGAAAACCAACGTGCCATCTGTCTGGCTTATTTTGTGTATGTGCATGTATACACAGGGATAGCTTAGGGGGAGGGGCTGTGTCATGCAATGAGGCAAAAACAAGATGACTTCCTTTGACAGGGGAGCCTTAGTGTTATAGGAGGGAGACAAGGAGAGGTCACTGGAGAGGGCTCAGAATGTAGCTCTCTCTCGTTCCTATGGAGAACCCAGAACATCTGTGGTGGAGGGCAGAAAGCAGAATCATCTCTCAAGGGTATTCCTATCTGAACACATCAGATGTCCTATGAAAGTAAACAGGTCTGTTTTAGAATATAAATGGTCATGACTTCCTGTGCTCCTGAGGTGGGGCAAAATAATCCATGAACACATAATCCTTCTGGGCAATATGTTTCTGGAGTGGCCAGCAGAGGACTCTAGGAACACAGGTGAGGGCACAGTTGGGGAGAAAAAGGTTCTAGAGATGGAGTCTCTTCAGGGAGTCTTTGAGAAATGTCCTTTGTTCCAGTATTCCTAAGTGACAGCACTGGTGAGCTTGGTTTGAATTGTCACTCTGCAAAGGCCAAGGGCCAAGAGTCAGGAGGCCACTCTAGGTTGAAAAGAAAGTACATCTCGAGGCCAGTTTAGAGCTGCAAAATGGTTTGTGGCTAGGCCAGGAGGAGCAGATGTGGAAAGTCTCCGTTTTTTAGATGCCAATGGTCTGCAGAACCCGCCTCTCGTTGTCATTAAGGTGGCCTGAGAACATTATGTAGCAGGGCTGCTGAGCGAACTGGCAGAGGAAGTCCGTGAGATATGCCTGGAGGGAAGAAAAAGAATGGCATTACTGAGGGTTCCCAGGCTCACCATCTGTAGCAGGGCAAGAACCCCAAGTGGTACAGGAAGCACTGGCTTTTAGACAAATGCCAACACCCTGAGCGGTGGCTTTCTATGTTCTTGAATCTAGTTCAGGTTCAACCCAGAGACTAAATTCCATAAGGAAACAAAATTTTCCCAACAGATCTCATATTCCACCCAAGGACCTTCACAAGATGGCCGGGTTGCAAGAAATTGGACTGCAGGTTTAACACTAAGGTGCAAAGGCCCAGACCACCCAGAGCCCTTGACTACTCAGCAAGACAGGAACTCTCTGCCCTGAAGCTCCCAAGATGAACTATAAATAGGTTTGAGGCCATATTCCTCTTTCCGTGGCTTGAGACACTGTCACTTGCAAGACATCTATTTTCTCTGGACATTCTCACCTGCAGATCAATCTGATAGAGAGGATCCTTTAGGGCATCAGGGTCATCTTCCTCATCATCCTCGTAGTAATCCTCCTCTGTTAGACACAGCCAACATAGAGAGGGGTCAGGGCAGAGGCTCCTGCTTGTGCCCCAAGCAGGGAGGCATTACCACACGGCTGGGGTAGAAGGGCTAAAAAAGCCCAACGAATGTTCCTTGTGGGCCCATCCCTCCCCTTTCTTTGGCACCCCATTCTTGGTACCTGTGCACAGAAAAGGCTGTCCTCTTCTCAAACGGCTTACCATATTTACTTGTAGCGAGAATGTCAGATAAGAGTTGGCCAGCTAAACCATCCTCTTCCTCTTCTTCATCCTCTTCCTGGTCCTCCCACATATCATTGGAGTCATCTACTTGGAGATGAAAAGCAGCTGGAGCATGCTCACACATTCCCTTCCCAAATGCAAACAGGCCAGAACAGAAGGGTCCCAAGGGTTTCTACAATGTGGCCAAGCCCTCCCAAAATGTTTAAATGGAAGAACCGAGGGTGTTCTGGTGGGTAGATAAAAGGCTGAAACCCCTGAGAAAAACCAAGCAGAAAGGTTGCCTCCCGGCTGCCTCCTACTCCAGCCTCTGAAGAGATTTCACAAGGTAGACCAGAAGAGCAGCTCTTAACATGTGTAGCAACGCTAGCCACATGACAGGCATGCAATAAACATTAAAAAGCCCCCAGTGATTCAATAACCCAAACTGGTAAATTTGAACATTTGTAACTTGATCTGTCAGGCTAAAAGTCTGCTGGGAGTAAGAGCCTCGTGCACCTTGACCCCACTCTGCAGGAGTGGCCTGGCGTGCGGCGTTGGCCTCCATGACGTTGGAGAGCTCATTGATGATCAGCTTCAGGATCTTGACCAGCAAAGGAATGTTTGTCCAGCGCTCAGGGTCTGGAAAGGAAAGGAAAGGCTTCTAGGCAAACTGTCAGTGGGCTCACTTCTGGCAGTGCTCACCAGACACAGTTCACCATCCCTCAAGCCTTCCACCATGCCAGACCATATCCACTTGCCACAGAACGACTGAAAGTTAAACTTCATTCTGCTTGGTGTTCTAAAAGTTCAGAAGTTAGGACAGATAAGAGAGTTCAGGAATTAGAGATAGGTTTTTGCTGGTAATAAAGCTTGGACACCAAGTAACTGAATAGAGTGCAATACTCCAGTCCCCATGACTTGCAGTTTGAGAAACAGCATAGGTAATTATAAACCTACAGCTGAAGAGGGCAGCTTTGTACTCGCTGCCTACAAATCACTGAAATCACAGGCCAAAAGCAATCTGATAACAAAGACATGCTGATATGGGTATCAGAGCTCCCGAATGAAGCTGGAAGCTGGGGTCCCTGAGATTGTTTTTGCCAACTTTCAGCAACAAGGAGGAACCATATGCTCTGATCCTTTGTTTACCTATAGCTTTCTGATTCTTTTTATCAAAGCCATCACTAACAATTGTATTTTAAAAATCTAGATCACAGTACATCCCTGCCTTCCACCCCACTTAGCCCCTAGGGAGGAGACTGGAGGGGCAGCAGCATCACCCACTTTTGGCTGACTTAGAGCGGGTGCGGATGCCCTCATCCATGCTGTAGATCTCCTCTCCCTTCACGCGGATATCCTGTAGCCGTTTGTCATCTGCATTGATGCCATGCTGGAGCAGTTTACACAGTGCCACAGAGCTAGCAAGGAAGAGCCAAAAAGGGTCAATCAGCAACCCATCTAGAGTTCACTCCAAGGAGATAAGCAATTATGTCCTAAGACTCTTCTCTTCGTTGGTGAAAATTGTTCACAACTAATTAGGAGAGATAAGAGAACCTAGCTGAAAATGGGATTTGTGTTCATAAGGATGGGCTAATGAGAACTTTTGAACTTCTTGAACAAAGCTAGGGTGGGCAAGGATCACAATGGCTGGCCACACGGGAACGTGCAACAGGGTGATGAGAACCAGTGGGAGGCAAGTCGAGGACAGGAAGTTAGCAAAGCCAGGGTTAGAAGGCTTGGGTTTATAAAGGAGAATAAGCCACTAGCGGTACTTGGCTGGGTGAAGTCTGTGGCAGAGGAGGATCTCTAGCCAGCAGAGAGGGAAAAAAAACATGGTGTACTTTGTGTCGACTGTGTTTTAGAAATTTCAAGATGGCAGCTATTCAAAGACACTGATTAACAATAAAGAAATAGAGGGAAAAGGGAATACAAGGGGCAGTCTGACATGTTGAACAAAAATCAGTGAAGCAAGTCAGGGAAAGAAGAAATGCAAGGAGAGGGCAGAATGCCCACAGAAGAAAGATGGGCTCTACCTGACTTTGCCCTCATATTGTCCATAGAACAGATGCTGTCGGCTTGTCCACTCAGCCATTACAAACTCCAGGGCAGGTTTGCCAGTAGGTCCCGGGAGGCTGCACAGGAACTCCAAGAGGGGTTCCAGCTGAGTGTGCACCAGATGAGCGAACACCATGATCAGAGACTAGGAGGTAACAAGAAGGACATCTACTTCAGGGAAACCAATTTCAGAGACTTGGAGATGAGAGGGAATGGGGCTGGCCAGTCAAGAAATAGAGAACATGGAGATTTCCTTGTCAATATTTCTTGGGCCAGAATAGACAGATTTTACTTAACTGTTCTGCAAGGACAGTAAGACAAAGTAAAATACCTCAGGACCTGTATACTGATTTCCATCTCTACCACTTGGAGGTTGGGAAAGCCCTGTTCCCCACTGTCCTCTTACCTGCATGACACTGAGCGTTTCTGCCTGCTGCATCTTACTGAGGATGGCACGAAGAATCTGGTCCAGGTTCTCCCCCAGCTCCCGCCCTGCCTTGGAGATGAGGGTGGAGACGAGGCGACCCACAAAGGCCGCAGTGAATTCGGAGGTACGGGGGTCCAGGAGCTGGCTCACCACTTGCATCACGTACCACAGCCCATTGTGGCCCTGCTCGTCGTGCCACTGGGCCACCTGCTCCAGCGTCACTGACACGTAGGCCCGCAAGCACTCTCCACCATTCTGGGGAGACAAAGGTGGCAAATGAGATTAGCAACGGGGGGACAGATGTCAGGAGGCCCTCAGTCTGTATGGGCAAATGTTTTTCTTAGAGGCCTATGCCTCATAAGAGTAATGAACCTACAGGGTTTGTGGTGGGCACATACTATTGGAGTCAGGAATTTACTGTTACAGATATAGCCATGCACTATACAATCCTTGCTTTACCTAATCAGCTATCTCAAAAATGCGGATTTCCGATCACAAGGGATAATGGCCAAGTAAACTAAGTTTTAGCCATAAACATCTACTTCTAGTACTGGAAAAACATGTTTCAGATGTAAGCAATGATTACGGACACAATAGGTCTTTATGGGAATAAAGACAAAGCTATATGAACCACTGTCTCCTTAGAGATTTCCAAAGGCCTATTACTTTGCTGACTTTATTAAGTCAGAAAAGACTTTCTTATAGCTTCAAGTCTATGTTTGTAATCTCATCCACAATAGCAATACCCAGATACAGATGGATAGGATGTCTGGCATCCTTACATAATCTTATATATGTAAGATTACAACATATCCCAAAGCAGAGAATGCTTGGCTTCTGCAGTCCAGACCATTCCTGGGTCCCATGGTTAAATATGGATTTGAGAGACCTGTATCTCAAAAGCATGAGACTGTGTCAGCTTTCTCAGGCTACTATACGCCCATGGCCGGTGGGGGGGGAGCGATCTTCCCTCTTCTAGTCACCACAGCTCAGATACCTGCATGGTGGCATTGTCATCTGTGTGAAGGGTGCATTGTGCCACGGCTGGGAAAGCTTGGCAGATGAGTAGCTGGGAAAGGGGAGGCTTTGTATTCCGTACTACTGTAGTCAGGATATCAATGGCCGTCTGAAGGAGAGAAGAGGAAAACGAGAGAATCAGAACTGCCCCTAGGGTGGGGGCCGGGGGTGCCCAACAACCAAGATCCTTATTGCATGGATACAACATAGCAACCCAAAGAAAGCTCATTAATTTTCATTAATGAAGTTTCTGAAGGAAAGGAATAATTCGATAGTAGACAGTGCTCTCAGCCTCCTCCTGATAGCTCACTGCCTGCTCAGGTATGGGGGCGGGCAGTTTACGGCGGGGAGTGGACATTCTGGTTACATGGTCAGTGGCACTGTGTAATAACAGCACTCTTTTCAATTCAATGAGGGCAATTCGGGAACAAGAGCCATTTTCTTAAAGCCTCAAGACTCACCCACTGTCCCGTGGGCACAGGAGCCCAGGAAAATCACCCTATGAATCTCTAATGCCACTGGTTTCCTGTCAGCGAGGTGCGATCTACAGGTGACATGTGCAGAGCGTGTGCACGCTCTTTTTCTTCCACCTCCGCCCACACCGGTGCCCTGTAGCCACTTACCGCACACAGTCCTGCAGGGATCTTGTCTGATGGGGCCTGCATTATGCTCACTAGAGTGGGAATCAGCCTCATCTGCATTGGGCCCTGACAGGCTTCAATCTGGGACAGCTCCTTGAAGATATCCTGGGCCAGCGAGGCGACGACAGGATCTGAAGTGGATAAGGCAACACAGAATCCCCCCCCCAGTGGTCTGCATGTACTTCTGGCTTAATGACGCCTGCTGTTCGGCCTCACCTAAGTTAACAACTTCTGCTTTGCTTACACATCACATCCCTGGGACCTAGGGAAGCCGTATGAAGAACCTGGAACAGGAGAGATGCTAAATCTGCAAGAGCCAGAGTATGCATGGTTTCATTAAGTCAGAGACTGGCCAGTAATAGCTACTCCTAAAATGAAACTTGGCTCTTTTTCTGGGGCAAATCTTTAATGACTTTTATTCTTATGAAACCTGGATTATGAAACCAAACGCTTAAGGAAAAAAAAAAATCCCCACTGATACTTTGTTAAGAAGACCATGAAAGTTTCAAAGATTGCCACAACACTCATTGCCAGGTTCTCCCATGTTGAAGAGGAATCATATACATCTCCTAGGGGTTAGTCACGATAGAAAAAAGAACTCCCAAAGCATTTCCAATGCAAAAGGCAAAACCCTCACAAGGCAGAGCCTTGTGAAGAAATGAAACTTTGGCTTGACCTACTTCACCTATTTAAGAAATATTTCTTCCTGTATCTAGCAGGAAAAAATAGAAAGTGTGCAGTGTACTAAGATACATGTTAAAAGATCACTGCGGCATTGCTTCGAAAAAAAATTGCTAACAATCTAGACGTGCACTAACAGAACAGGCAAATTATGATACAGCCATTTTATGGAATATTATGTGGTGGCTGAAGAGAATGAGAGATACCTAAGAGTGCAATGTGGAACCTCTTCAGGATACATTCTTTTTTTTTTTTTTTTTGAAGATTTTATTTATTTTGTCAGAGAGAGAGAGCACAAGCAGGGGGAGCGAAAGGCAGAGGAAGAAGCAGACTCCAATGCAGGACTTGATCCCAGAACCCTGGGATCATGACCTGAGCTGAAGACAGATGCTTAACTTACTAAGCCACCCAGGTGTCCCTTCAGGACACACTTTAAGTGAAAAAGCAAATCAAATAAAATGTTTAGTATGATGTCATATTATATAACTCCTACCTCTACATATCCTGTATTTCAATATTGGCGCTCCCTCTATAAAAACAAATATCCTCAATATTTTCTCTGGTAACGAAGCATTACACAAGTAAAGTGTTGTTAATAATACATACTCACTAATGAAAAACTTAAAATGTAGGGAAGTATTCAAGGAAAGAAAACACCTGGAATTCCACCACCTAGAGAGACCTACCCTTAACATTTTGATGTATTTTCTTCTGGTATTTTTTTAATATACGTATCTATACACTAATTGTCTAAAACAAACCCCAAACTTGGGATTATATTCTTTTTTTTTTTTAAAGATTTTATTTATTTATTTATTTAATTGACAGAGAGAGAGAGAGACAGCGTGAGAGAGAACACAAGCAGGGGAGTGGGAGAGGGAGAAGCAGGCTTCCGGCCAAGCAGGGAGCCTGATGCGGGGCTCGATCCCAGGACCCTGGGATCATGACCTGAGCTGAAGGCAGTTGCTTAACCAACTGAGCCACCCAGGTGCCCCTTGGGATTATATTCTATGCAGTTTGGAAAACCCTCTATTCTCTTCTTATAATGTGAGCACTTTCCCATGGCTTTAACTTTCCTTTCAAGTTTGATTTTTAGAGGATGCATGGTATTACACTTTACATCTTTCTGGGGCATATAATTAATCTTTTTTATTACTTCTAAATTTTTGCTACTACAAAAGCCATGTGATGAACCCTACTGTTCGTAACCTTTCGCATGTGTCTTTCTTCAGTATCTTTCCACATTATAGCTGTAAGCCTCTTCTTTTAAGAAGATTTTGATGTAGTCGCTCAATTTCCTACTTGATTGTTAAAGTTCTGAATTGTACCTCTTGCCTGCTAACCCTTTACTCGTTGTCTTTTTCCCCAGTTCTGACTGCAGGTCAAAGTGACAGGAATAGCTACTCTACTTTTTGGTGTTCCTGTAGCTCCAGTATGGCTCTCCTCTTTGCTGAGTGAAAGCTATTCTTTGCTTCTGATGCTTAAGATCATCAGACGCAGGGAAAAGTTTCACCTAAATTCACCAGCCATCACCTTCCCTTTGGTGTCCTTCATCCACACACAGTCCTGGTGCATACCGTTACTGTACTTCAGGAAAATGGCGATGGTGAAGGGGCAGATTTTGCTTTCCATGCTTGCTGTGAACTCTGGGTCTACTGTACAAACGATGCACAGGGTCTCCATCACCAGGTTGAGGACCTCTGAGCTGAACTGGGCTGCTAGGTGAATTAAGCCATCCAGGATACTGGGGAGGAAGGGCTGAAGCACGTGGGTACTCTCTGAGACTTTTAGTTGGTCACAATAACTAGAGAGAGAGAGAGAGAGAGAGAGAGAGAAGCAAGCATTACTCACAAGTGGATCTCTTAATTCCTGGTTCTTCTATTTGACAGATTACAGCATTTATATGTGTAGCTTTATTTTTTTTTAAAGATTTTATTTATTTATTTTGACAGAGAGAGACAGCGAGAGGGAACACAAGCAGGGGAAGTGGGAGAGGGAGAAGCAGGCTTCCCGTGGAGCAGGGAGCCCAAGCCGAAGGCAGATGCTTAACGACTGAGCCACCCAGGAGCCCCATATGTGTAGCTTTATGAAGCTACTTGTAGAGTTAGTTTTTACATCTTTCTGGGGCATATTTTGTAAACATCAGCACCACCATCTCTATGCTAATTTATTTCTGCTTTGGTTTTTTGCTATTTTAAACTTTCACCCCTCTCCCACTCTGTCATATCATTATATTCAAATTAAGATGTTAATTAAATGCTTTATAATTCCTCAGATTACTGCTTTAATCACATCCTTCAGATTTTTATATATTCCTGTTATTTTTCAAACAGTTACAGTGGTTTTTTTTTTAAAGATTTTATTTATTTGAGAGAGAGAGAATGAGAGAGAACACATGAGAGGGGATAGGGTCAGAGGACGAAGCAGACTCCCTGCCAAGCAGGGAGCCCGATGCGGGACTCGATCCAGGGACTCCAG